AGAGTAAACATCTTTTGACATTAGTATATTGGAAGAGAGACATAAATATGGTAATTGTTCTATAGTCAGGCCTATGCGAACAATTAGGGGCTGGTAATGTAGGAGCTAAAATGCTTCCTAAAAGCTTTAGGGACGAACATAGTGTTTTGTTTTACTTATGTGCATAATTTTGAAATGTATATGGTTAAATGTTATATTAATCCACGGTCACGTGTGATGCGCAGATGTATTCTTTTGCGTTATTCCTTTAAAAAAAAAACGAGGGAGCCGCACGGTTTTCTAACCGTGTCGTTGTGCAGTGGACTACATTTAGATTTGGGAACATATGGAACTAAGACACAAGTTAAGCTGTATTTTAAATTTTGCAACTGAAATGGAGTAATAAAGTCAAAGACTATATCGAAGATTCGTGTGGTTCTGGTGGATAGGCTACCAGTGTGGAACACGCATCAGTTTTGCGGCTCAGGCTGTGTTTTCGATTTGAAACCCATTACACTGACATCTCCCTTAGTTCTGACACTCTACTTACTAAGAATTGTATTCACCGGACTGGTGTCGGTCAAACAGTATGATTTTATATTTCATGTTGCTGCTTTTTATTTTCATTACAAAATGCATTTGAAATTTCTTTAATTGTTGGTTAATTCACAAAGATAATATATTAACTATCCATTTAAATCCCTACAAATGTAGGGATCTTTACTGCCAGTTACTCAAAGCTTGTACTGTAGAATTAGTTCATAAATCATATGTATATGGTATGTTAAATGCTGAACTGATATGATCTAGTTTATTAGAAATTACCATTTTATAAAGCTGTTTATTTGACTTCTAATACCAGTTAAGGGCTTTTTTCTCAGGTCTGCATGTGTTTAAAGCTAAGTGTGTAGTATTCGCACACTCAAAGGTTACGTTCAGCTAATTTAACCACATTTTGGCCAAAGGCGGCTGGCTTCACCGCACTGTTTTCTCTGCGGGTCTTGATGTGGGTTTGCTGACTTAATTTGTTTAATAAAGGTAACTATCTTATTGCGTATACAATGTAGTTAACGTTTGTCTTAGTCGACCAATCCACTCAGCATCGTTTTTTCAGTTTCCCGTCTGAAGTCATGCTATTTATTATTCAGTCAAACTAGCTTATATGACCCACTACAAATGAAATGAAAATGAAATGACTCGCAAACAAGCTGAGAAAAACAGCTATGTTCGAAACCACGCAGTGGGTGTTAAGATGGTTCAGATTGGCTCAGTGCCTGATGTTGTGGGCTAATTGTGCCCCTGCTCTTGACTTGTATCGTATACTGGATACAGTACAGTATACTACAAAGGAGGAGTAGCATGCAGTATACAGTACTGGAGCAATATGCAATATACAGTACACAGTATGCTATATTGAATACAGTCTGATTCAACAGAAACAGGCAATACCAAACACATATACCTTACTTTAGATATCATATATGAGGCCTACACCTTGACTAGGGTGTACTACTTTATATACAGGATGATTTAAAAAGATTAATTCGATTTCAAAGTGCCATTTTTTTTTACAACTGTGAGGTGTCTAGGAACCAATCACATACCACTTGAAAGAGGGGGTGAAAGAGTTTCTGACTGTCAGTATGGAAGTGAACCTCTAACAGCTCAGAGCATTCGTCGTTGGTACCAACAGTTTCAAGAAAAAGGTCACCAGCATCACCAGTGTGTTTTTTTTTGTGGGGGTATGTTACGGATTCTGTTTATGTGCAACCACTCCAGACAACACTGGATGATCTCCGAAATGTTATTGAAACAGCAATGAGTACAATGACACCCAAGTATGGGATGAATTTGACTATCGCATTGATGTTGTCTGTACAGAAGGTCATATTGAGCACTTGTAAAATTACATAACAAATGTTATGCTCACTTAAACCATTTACAATTTACTGCATTGTTCTGTAATGATTTACAAGTGAAATAAATCATTTTGAATCTTTTTGAATCACCCTGTACTATACTAGAATTGAAAGAACGTGTAGGTCAAAGGTAGATGTGAATAAGGTTATGCATGAGACTGTCAGGAGATTTTCTATAAATACCAGCTGTGAATGGTAGAATTCCTGATGTAATTTTCATCATCACACTCCTGTGTCATGTTTGTTACTAATTAACTTTAGTGCTTTAAAAACGAATGAAATATTTTTAAATCGCTATAGCAGATAAAGAAGTAGTGTAGTAGATTTGGTGGGGTGGATTTATAGCTGTTGTTCATGGTTTTGACTCTGAAAAGTCATTTACCAAGAGTTGACCCTGACTTTCAGATGTGTCGGAGTCAGAGAATCGATTCCTTTGGAATCTACTCCAAATCATTACAGTTGTGGAGATTTGCGCAAGCATAGTAGCGAGAACAACTAGGAAAATAAACACATTTTTGTATGTTATTTGAGCCAAATGCTACAAACTATTTGTGAGGTTTTTGTAAGCCTTTACCAGTGATTTCAAATGTTTCTGAAACGGTAATTCAGCTTAATTTGGCCACTGCATTGTGTTTTACGACACTTCCTGATCTGTACCCCACATGCTTATTTTTGTATGATGTTGTACAGACAGATTAGCTTGGGGTGTTTAATGCTGAACCCACTAATAAGCAGTCTCATTCTCTTTCCTGGTTTAATACTACTTAGTATTAAGTTTCTTTCTATTAGTATTGCTAGCATTGCTAGCATTTTGGTTTAGCCTGAGTGCATGTCTTTTTAAGACGCAGACACAAAGTATTCAATATGGTATAATTTCATTTTCCATGCTTTGGAGAGATTTGGATTTGGAACTTACTTTTGTAATTCTGTTAAGACAATGTATGAAAACAATAACTGCTCTATTAAACTCCCCAAAAATTTGATTTGCAGTGTATTAGACATAGTTCCCTGGCCTTTCCTTATCTCCTTCTTATTGTCTACTCAGCTTTTAAATTAATTAACTTAGCCCCCGAAAGGTATTTCAGCTGGGACAAAAAGATACTTATTAGGCTGCTCACAGATGATACAGCATTATTTTTAAAGGATGCTTCACAGGATCTTGTAGTTATTGACTTGAACATTTTCTAATGCATCTGGGCTCACCTTAAATATTGAAAAATGTGCACTTCTTGCATTGAAAGAGTGTGACTCACTGTCTAATGGTAATACAGTGGATACTTCTTTCCTGTCATAGATAAGTGCAAAAGAAAACTAATGCAGTGGGTGCAGAGAGATTTATCTCTGAGAGAAAGAATTCTTGTGACCAAAGCTGAGAGTATATCTCAATTTACTTAGCTCAGTCCCTTTATGTGAACAAGCAGATTTCTACAGCAATCAATAATCTGCTTTTTAATTTTGTTTGGAGAAATAAGAATCATTATATTAGGAAATCTGTTTTAATGAATTCCTGACAATGGTGGTCTTAATTTTCTTGACTTTTCAATCTTCAACAATTCTTGTAGAATAAATTGGATTAGGCAAATATGAAATTTCATTTTCAATGTTCTCTAAATCAGGAGGGCATACTTTTGTCATTGTCAGAAGAAAACCTTGTATCTCCATTTTTGTCATTTTCCAGTTTTTGACGAATGGACTATTGAAGCTTCAATAGTCAATTTGTCATTTGAAGCTTTTAGCTGAAGTCAATGGTATGACCTACTTTATTCTTAGGTAATTGTGAAAAAACAGATGAATGGACTAAAAGAAATGACCTATAATGACTTGGAAAAAAGTCTAGCTCCACTGACTTACAATAAAAATAGTTTTTTTCTTCTGATGACATCACTTGACTTTCTTTTACCTATTTTCTGGGGATCTATGAAAAAAAAACACATGGTAAGTCCACTGTGTCTTTTTAGTTATCAGAAATGTGCTCATTTAGCTCATTTCATTTGAAGCTTTTAGTTGAAGTCACTGGTATGACCTACTTTATTCTTAGGTAATTGTGAAAAAACAGAAAACAAATGGATTAAATTACATATTTTAGTGGATATTCCGTGATTGACAACATAATGCTCTGTAGCAGCCATTTTGTGAAATGCATTTTTCTTTAAAAATGTCACTGGTGTTACCTTTCTTATGTGTAACACCAATGAGGATTGGTAACACCAGTGACACCTACGGATAGAGAGAAAAGTGGACGTTTCTGTAGATTGACCCTGATGCAGTCCCATCAGGTGTTAAGATGCTGTTCAAAACACAAGAGGACTTCATCCGTCCTTGTTGCTTTTAGACACTGCTGTCACTGATATTGGATGTCCCTTTGTCCCTTTTCCAAGGGCGGATTATAATAACTATAAAATACAAGTATTGTTTCAGAAGTAAGTAGTTTTGAATCTACATAGTGTCTTAACAGAATAACCTTAGAGGTGGCCTTAACTGGAAAAAATGGAATTTGCCATCAAAATACTTACTGGTCAATAAAATATATATTTTTATTAAAAAATAAAACCTTTGTTTTTTTTCGTATTAGACATACTGCGGCTCATTAAAATGGACACGTTTTCTATCACGTTGAAGATGAACGACAGGATGGGCAGTTTGTTATATTACGATCTATGTCCATAAAACAGTTGTTTGTTCACGGTACTCATGCATTTCCTCAGTTTACTCCCATTCACTTACTCAGAGTCTCTGGTTCCTCTGTGTTTTAATTTGGAATCGGAAAAAGAAAAAAATATTGTCTGAAATCGATTCCATTGATTACCATTACTTGGTATTGAAATCGGAGTCAACTCCACAGTTTCCGGAATCGAAACAGTCCCAGGCATATATATCTATGGTCCCAGGTAGCAGCTCCATTAGCCTTATGCTAAGCTAACGTGTAACTCAGTAGTTAGCTAGCAAACTTAAATGGGCTTTCGAAAAATCAGTTGCCCATTTACATCAACTGAACCATCAATTACAATAAATATTCTTATTTTGATCATTTAAAAAGATTCTGTTAGCGGAGCTGATGCTAGCGGTTTTAATCGGGCAGACACGGCGGGTGCCAAAGGGTCCTTGGGGTGCAGGCTGCCGCAGGAGACCGGATGGGACACATACTGAGGGGTAAGATGACATCGGTGCTGCACCTGACGAGGTTTTCTGCTATTTTTAGGCGAAATGTCGCCGTTTTTCCTCGCGGAAGCGGTCCCGGGACAACAACGACTCCGTGTCGTACTGCAGTCTGCACATCTACAGGTGCCGTTTTGCCCAAACCGAGAAAGGTAAGTCTGTCTGTTTTGACTATGAACGGTTTGCTGATGTTTTATTTGGTTCAACACGCCCATGTTGACTTGATTGCATTATATAATTATAATTGCTGCAGATTTGTCAGCTGCGAATCTCCACGTAGCAAAGGTGCTCTTATGGACTTAGATCTGATTATTGGGAAGGCCACTGAAGTACACAGAACTCATTGTTCTGTTCACTAAACCAGTTTGAGATTACATGTTTTGTGGAAAGGCATATTCTCATGCCGTAAGTAGGCATTAGAAGATGGTTAAATTGTGACCATTAAGGGCTTTGTAGTAACAATACTCAGAAAGGCTATGACATTCCAAAGATGCTTGATTGGTATTAGGGGTCCCCACTGTGTGCCAAAAAAACTCCTCCGCACCACTATACCACTAGCAGCAGCTTCACCTCTTGACACAACACTCTTTACGCCTATCTCTTGTTGAATTCTGACCTTACTATCTGCATATTGCAGCAGAAATCAAGATCCATTAGACCAGTCAGGGTTTTTCCATTCTTCACCTGTCCAGTTTGGGTGAGCCTGTGCCCATAGTGGCTTCAGATTCCTGTTGTTGGCTGATAGTGGAATCCAATGCGGTCTTCTTGTGTTGTAGCCAGTCCTCATGTTTGACATGTTGTATGTTCAGAGATGCTTTTTGATTACAGTTGCAAAGAATGGTCATTCGAGTTACTGTAGCCTTGCTGTCAGCTTAAACACACGTGTCAGCTTGGTTATTCTCCTCTGTCCTTGGTTACTTCTCTTATTAATATAACAAGGTATTTTTGCCCACAGAACTGGCATTTACTGGATGTTTTTGTTTTTCACACCATTCTGTGTAAACTCTAGAAATTGTTGTGTGTGTGAAAATTCCAGAATATCGACAGTTTCTGAAACACTCAAACCATCTTGTCTGGCAACAACTATGTCATTGTCATTTAGATCACCCATTTTCTTCATTCTGATGTGAACATAAACTATACATAAACTCTTCTCTCCCCATTCATATAACATAAACTCTTGACCTGCATCTGCATTAATTTATATGTTGCACTGTCACATGATTGATTGACTGAGCAGGTCTACAAGTGTTCCTATAAAAGTGGCTGGTGAGTGTAGGTGTAAATGAATGCATTTAAAAAAGCAATGAGAGCTAATGGCCTTGAGGCCCATCTTTGTTTGACTCTTTCCCCTTCCTCCCCTTAGACGCCATTCGGTTTGATGCGTATTGCCATGGTGGTGGCTCCTTTCCTGTATGTGGGAACACTGATCAGCAAAAACTTTGCTGCTCTCCTGGAGGAGCACGACATCTTTGTCCCAGAAGATGATGATGATGATGACTGAACTCAGGTAATAACCCTTCACTCATATTTGAACAGGTCAGATTCTGGCGAAACGTTAGTTTGATTGGAAAGTCAAATATTTTCCCCCTCAGCCCAAATGTTGTCAATCAGCCAAAGCATGCTTGGTGTCCTAAGGTTTAGTTTTAGTTTTGCAGTGGAGCTACAAGGCTAATGTAAGCTTATTCCTCACCAATTAGCATCATGGAACCTGTACGCTTACATCACTTATTTGCCTCAAACTGTGTATAGTTAACCTGTCCAGGGTGTATCCTGCCTTCTGCCCTATGACAGCTGGGATAGGCTCCAGCACCCCACCGCGACCCAGAAGGATAAGCTGTTTAGATGGTTTGTGTGTGTTTAGTTACTAAATAATCTCAACTAGACACAGTATGACATACTGTTATCTATAAAAATGGACAAGTGAACACAATGAAGCAACCATTTAAAAGCCTCAGTTGTTTTTGTCGAAGCTCCATTGCAAAGCTTAAGAAAACTTTAGACATCAACATGTTTTGGCTGATCAGCTACATTTGCAGTAAGAGTGAAAATTATGTACAAAATGATTTTGTCTATTCATTATATTAAACAAAACAGCTTTTCCTGTGATCTGTGTAGCCCTAATCTACAAGACCAGCTTAGATGCTTTCAGGTTTTCAGTGTTTTAAAACGATCTAATTTTTTCCCTACTGGTTGGGTTTTGGGTGCTTCCTTGATTCCACATCTCCCTTGTTTTACCTGTACATATTGCTCAATCTGTTATGTATTGTTTCTCCCCCCCCCCGTGTACATATAGTTGTATGCAAACGTCTTTGTGCTCCTGTTGACATTTTTTGTTGATTTTCTAAGTGAAAAACATATCCTCTACAGAGAACACACTTCAGTGAATGTGCAAATTTGCTGAACACCCTGGAGGAAAAAAAACAAAAAGTGTCCTGTGCAAAGGTTATGACACATCAATATTTTATGTTTTTTATTGTTGACCCCCCCAATCCCCCATCCCCCAATATGTTACATTCAATAGGTGTCTCCAGATATCTGAAGCTGCTGCTAATGGAGGAAGATTACATCGCAGAGAAACAGCAGAGTGTCTTATCATTTCTCAAACGCCACTTTAGAGTGACTCTGCAGTGAGCATGGGTGTGTGTTTGTGTGTGTGTGTGTGTGTGTGTGTGTGTGTGAGAGAGTGTGTATTTAACAGAGCTGAGCTCTCCTACTCTCTGCATGAAGCCCAATAAAGTCAACACTGGAGAAACCAGTCTGGTGCTGCAGTTGTATGATTTTTACTCAGATACAGTAAGGCAACCCAAGCAGTTCTGATTCACTCCAGAATAACTACATCACCCTGTGTAAAGTTAATATGCATGAGCTGTTTTCTATTTGCTACATTTTAAAGAACAGAGAATTGCTAAGTAATGTACGTGAGCCATGGTACACGCATGGCATATTTAATTGCTTCACAGATGTTTCACACCTCTACCAAAAGATCATAGCATAATTATACAATCCCTTCCCACTCATTCTTTTGTGTGCAAGAATAGAGAAAGAATTCTTAATTTTGATTAGTAAAAAAGCATCTCTGACTTCAAAACTACATATTCTGATATCTATGTTGTACCTATATTACTGGCCATTTTATCAGAAACTACCATATCAAAGCGATGTCTTTTCTTGAAAAAAGTTTGCTTCTTTAGTTCCACACTAACGCTACAAGGCTAATATAACAAGCATATTTGTATGTTTAGAGTTACAGCCTGCAACCCATCTGTTGCGGCACAATTTGTCACCCTGTCATTCGTAATTAGAAAAGGACCACAGTAGGACCAAAACTGACCAGATGTTATATTGGTGGTGTACCATTCTCAACACAGCAGTAAGACTGACATGGTATTGGCATCGGTGGTGCATGACAGCACTCTGTGACATACTGTCATCTATAAAATTGGACAAAACTCACCCTGTAAGATGGGTGGCAACTGATTTGGCTACGCAATGTTTTTTTTGTCCATGTTTATAGATAACATTAAACCACAGTGTCAGAAACCACATAAGTCTACTCAAGAATATTTAACTTTGTTAAGTTGTTGATTTAGGCATGCAGTTAGCACCATGTTAATTGGTGGGGTATAAGCTACCATTATTTGCTAGCTACATTGGCCTTGTAGCTCCAGTGTGAAACTACTGAAGCAAACTTTTTCCAAAAAAGGCAACCTCTTACTGAGGAACATACTGCCAAAACTCCTTCTAGACTTGTGAGAAAGCATGAAAACCTCTAAACAAACAGGAGGGAGATGTTAGATCTGTTTGGCTTCTATGCCTTAAAAAAGTACTTGGAGAAATTTAATACGAATTCAGTGTGTATGAATGCAGACAGACACAGTGTTTGGATAACATATGAGTGTATTTACAGTTCAACAGCAGATAATAAGCACACATTCATTCATCACAAATAGATGTGCAAATGTAGGGTGGGGGAGGTCAGGGGTCGTGTCCATGGTAAAATTTTGACAGGAAGTCAGTGGGGTGGGGGGTTTTGGTCTCGTGGAAGTAACGCATCACATGTGTTTTCTGCTTCCAGATGTGGATGGTTTCCTGAAGTTCCATTTTACCCTGTAGAGAGACAAGAAAGACACAGGACAGCGTTATAGCATGTTTTTCCCCTTCTAACTCAGTAATGCTGTTTCTTTCAGTTCTAACAAATAAAAAAAAAATCTTACAGCTTAGTGCAGCTTAAAGTAGAAGGAACTATTTACACAATAACGTAATATACTAGGGAAGCACCAATATGGGAATTTTGGGCCGATGCTGAAATGCAATATTTTTCATGTATATATCTGCCAAGCTGATACCTAAACATTAATAAAATCACACCTGATTTACGCAGTTGCTCATTAAATCAGAATCACAGTCACTTTATTGACCAAGTACAGTTGCATATATGAACAATTTGTCTTGGTGACACTGGTGCTTATGTAAATGAACAATACAATTTTATCATAGTGAACAATAAGTAAATAGTATTATTGGTAAATAGTATTAAATAAATACTATACATAGCTACAAATGATATCATGAAATTGACATACTCCCATGTATGTAAACTATACTGAACAAAAATATAAATGCAACACTTTTAGCCAACTGGTTACGCCCGTCTTGCAGCGGTTTGACCCAAAAAAGTCCACCATTATTACTAGACATTTGTCACACTGCTACAAGCAGCTACAGGCCAGAAACTAATGCGTTTGTGTAAATGTGCAGGTATTTACAACCCTTCATGAATCAGGTCTGTTAGAGCAGGTTACACAATGCAGAATCATCAATCTTATGTGCAGTGGGAAAGTTTTTATTCAAACCAAGCAGAAGCACACTTAATATAACAAAAACTGCTTAAAGTCTGTGAACTGATTAAATGAGTGGAATCAGGTGTGTTTCTGCTTTATTGAAAAGAAAGCCTACAGCCACATATGCTCTTGCTGTTTTTTTAGTATTACAGCTAGATTTGTTTTTGATCCTGTTTCTTACCTTGATGACCAGCATGTCAATGATGCGGGGGTCAGTGACATGCTTGTTTTTGTTGAAAATCTCTCTGACCTTTTCTCTGCCCTGTCGCACAGTGATGTCCAGCTGGTACATCGCCACTAAAAAAAGCACAATAACACCACAGTTATGCAGAGCAAGAACAAGAACTGTGATTATTTCAGTGTTTATCTATGACATTTACAAAGTGCAGTTTTTATGATTCCTTGTAAGATGAGCTCCACTGTTCCGCATATTTCATCTCTAATTAATCACCTCATTAAAGCCCTTCACAGAAAAAGAGCATAAAAAGGGAAATGGAGAAGAACAACACTAAGAATCAGAGTTTAATTCGGCAGCAGAATGGGAAAAACACTACATTAGCCATTAATGATCAGCCTGACACATGGCTTATATATATTTGAAAATTTTCTCCAGGTTACAATTTCATTTAGGAGGCTTGTGACAATTATAACTGAAATTATAAAACCACAAAAGATATAAGAATACAGTTTTATAAGTGTCAACTGATGCATTTATCAAAATGTCCTGCATTTGCTGAATACAACTTAAAGTTGTTGCGTATATGACGGCGAAGTTCTTGCTCTCCGTTTTTTCGGTAGGCTAACAATGCTGGAGGGCAGCATTTATAAGGCGACATTACAGTTATCCCTTTTAAGACAATTGGCATTAATCTTCACAAACATTTATTATTACGACAAGCATCACTTGTGGAAATGAAACGACAGCGGAATGGACAATGGTAGCCTTTTATGACAACTGACGCATTGATTTGTATGTAACGTTAACTATGTAGCGCTAACGTTATATCCTGCAGTGTTGAGTTAGCGTTAGCTGTTTGTATCAGTGCTATCGGCTCTGTGCTAGTCGTCCTGCTCTTTCTGACCTTGACCTTGTGCGTTTATAGCCGCTGTGTGTGTCCGGTTCGGGTCAGTACCTGTGTTGGGAACCTCTCGGTACCATGCTCGGTAAAGCTCCCTCACCCGCCGCTTCGCTTCGTCCACATCCCGGCTAAAAATCGGCTTGACCGCCTTCACAGCACCGCGGGCCACAAACGACGCCATGACTGCTCTAAAGAGCGACTCGCGAACGAATCGGCTCTATGAACCGGTTCGCCCGTTCCAACTAAATCTAAAACTTTTTCGTAGCACCCGTACAGAATTTACATCGTCGTTATGGGTTGAAGGGTTGTAGTAGCCTAAAATAAGAATAATAATCTTTCAAAATGTAATCACATATTGTAACATAGTAAGAACTCTTTCAACTCACATTTTATATTGACTGTAGCTTACTCTTTCTGTTGTATTTGTGTTTTGTGCATTAAAGTGTGATCGCATTAGTGAATAGAAGTAGCACATCAGGCTCGCTTAACATTGCTGTATATGGAAGCTATAAGAATGGAGTTGATTTCAATGAATCAATGATCCATTAAGTCGGACGCTCGGTTCAGTAAATTGGAAAGTTCGGAAGAATTGATCCACCTTCCCTTGAACATCACTGGGAGGTCTGCAGACTAAGCACTGCCGCCCTCTACAGCACTGGAGGTGAAGCCTCTGCTGGGATCTAATACTCTTATCAATATCTCTTACATCAGCATCTGCGGACCTAGAGCAAGATTTTAAGAGTTTTGTGAGACACACAAACAACATATTTGAGAAGTATTAGGCCAGCTCTATCCTGGTCAAAAACCCTATGTCCTATATTTGGAGTTTTGTCGTTCCTTTTTGAATTCGATTGGATTCTTAATGGTTCCACCCTCTCTGTTGGAAACATAAAATGTTTCTAATGGACTTAATAGGTTTCACAAAACAGTGATTATGAGACTCTATCCTGCTGTTGTGAGGATCAAGTAGGAGTCTTTCTGAAATGTTTTATGATCGAATTAATTTAATGTAATACATGTTACATGCTATGGCAGATCTTAAAGAAATAAAAAATTGAACCATTGTTACATCTGTTGTAAACATGTTCACTCACCTTACAGTGATGTCACAGTAGTATTTGTGAGTGAGATTTTTTTATTTAAAAACTAGTAAAACCCCACTGTCATCATGTATCTTGAAAGTGAAAGCAGATTTTGAAAGACGAGTGCTTTGGGTGGATATTTTTTAAGCTAGCTGGTTAATTCAATTTCAACTGAATCGTTCCTCTAACATAAAAAAAACTGATGGCCAATTAGGGTTAGTGGTATAATGCTAGATAGCATCACAGATGTATTTTCTATCCTTGCGATAAGAGCTAGCAGTCAGGATTTGTTGAGTGCCAGAGGGATTCCCAACGATTGTCTGATGTACTTGTGCAAAAATACAAAAACTATACAAAATGCCCCTTCATGCCTGCAGGGTTTCCTCAAGTTCATATTTATATATCATTGTAACTCTGTTGCAGTAAGTTTGAAAATAGTTTATAGAAATTTTATTTTGATATAGCTTTTTTCCCCCAAATTTCTCTGCAGCTAGTTCTTTCTCATTTAAATCATCTGGAAATTTACTTTGTAATAAATGTTCTTACATAACATATTTTGATGTCTATAATATTTGGAAATACCACTGCAGTTAAAAAATTACTAACTCAGTAGCTGATGATAAAATCTTTACAAGCAGGTTAAATATATTAAGTGTGCTGTGTCTTGGGACTGAAGTTGACATTCACTGCATTAATGTGTTTTTTCTTAAATACAGTGCACTTCCATCCCAAACTGTAGTACCATTTTACTACTGTTCTACTTCAGAGTCTTTACTGTCTTCTATTCCAAACCTCCCAGCTTTCTGAGTTTAGATAGGAACTGATGTTAATATTATTGAGTTATTCTTTTACACAAAATGTTACTAAGAATCAGAACCAATTTGCTAGGGTTCCACCTATAGAGGAGCCTGTCTATGATAAGGACTATAAGGAAGAGGAATAGCTCACGGTTTACTCCACACTTGGGCTTTTATAATACTCGTCTACATCAGCAGTTTAGAACGCCAAATCTACTTTTGTACATCTTTACTGAACAGAAGCTTTCAATGAGGGGAAAATTCCAATTAGTTTTTACTGAATTATAATGACCTTGGTTACTTCCTCTTATCAAGGACGGGCTCATTTTCTCAGTTCTAGCTCAGACAGATCGGATCCGGATCTAGGCGTTTGAAGATATTCTACTCTGCATACACACAAGATGAATTAGGCTACAAAAATTGCAACCTGCATTTTATTAATTTGTAAAATAATAACTACTTTAAATATGTAAAAACATTTGCAGAATAACAAAGCATCTATTTTAAGAAAACAAAATTGGCTCATTGAAGCAAAACTGGGTTTCTGTTTGTTTTTGTGGCACTCAAGAGTGACGGACACTGCAGCACTCAGACTTCAGAATAGTGAGCTGTGCTACTGTTCCAGGATCTCAGGCCTCACTCACCCCCTGATCGTCCACATTTTGTGCCTAACAGTCTCAGCCAGATGACCAGCACTCTATAGCTCTGCACACACAGGTAACACACCTGGACAAATAAATCCAAGTGACGTACCCCTTAAGCTCCAGAATTACTATTAACTGCAATTCTTAATATTTAACTGTTACAAAAAAATCACTAGCTACTATTAGACTAATATGTAAATTATGTAGCTATGAGGGAGAGGAACTGAGGTGTGCATCGCACAGACAGACACTTGAGGAGTTTAAGGGGTTAACACACATAAGAAGTCTACGTTTTATAGAATGTTGGGGTTGAAGTGTGTTGGGGGTGTGCTGGACTGAGATTTTCCACAACACAAACACACAGCAACACATAACCATCCTAAACAGTGTGTTACCTATGCTGGAAAAATCATGAAAACATGAGCACGGATCCACATACATCGTGCCACAGTAGATGAGATGAGTTTACAAGTTTCAGTTTCAGTATTCTTCCTGTGGTTTTCCAGGTTTTCTCCAAGTTTCCTGTTGTAAAAAAGCCCCCGAGAGCAAAAATATTCCAGTTCAGTCCCATGTTTTTTTCCTCCATGTGCTTAAGTTTTGATTCATGTCTTTCAGACTCAAGGATTCTCTCTCAGTAAAATACAATATGATAAAAGATAAAAAGACAAAAAAGACAGCAATCACACATGATAAAAAGTGCAGAGACAGATTGAAGCGACCCAGTGTATCAGGACAGGTTAGCTGAGGCAGTTCCCTGCTGCTGATTGGCTGACTGGATTGAAATGCAAGGCACATGCTCCACCTGGCTCCTCCACTTCAGCTGAAATAAACACAATATATTACAAATTATGAAAACTGCAGATAACACTGCTAAAGTAAAAAAAAAAGGGCCACTTTACCAGACAGGAATTAGGCCTAGTCATGGACTGTATCTTCCTTTCAATGGAAAATCTCCATTCAAAATACTGTGTAGTGCAGGACTAGGCTTAATCCATGCAAATAAAATGGCCCAATAAAAATTGAGTTCAAAGGTATGGGCTATATAAACTGAACACAGGTTTAAGAAGCTCACTAAACACTAAAGCTATGAGGCAGAGTTATCTAAAGGCCTTTAATATCAACACCACTAAAACCCTAGACCTCAAACTATAGCCCTAAATACCAAATCCAAAAGTCTAAACTATAACCCTCAAAATCTAAACCCTAAACCATACCATAAACCTCATACCACAAACCCTAACATTAAATTTCAAATCATAAACCTCAGTCATAAACCCCAACTGTAAACTGCAAACCCCATCTACAAACTTCAAACCCTAAAGCCTATACCCCAACCTCTAAACTCTTGAATTCTAACCCTCCAGCTGCTGCAGTACCTGTTGTGTGTCCAATAGGGGTCAGTGCTGCAGGCTGTTGCTGAGGAGCTGGCCCTCCTGCAGCGCTGCCATGGCCAGTCTCAGGTGCTCCCTCAGAGTCTGAACCTCTCTCTCACTGCGCTCCTTCATCCCCCGCAGCTCCTCACACACATCCTTATAGCGTGCACACACACCCTGCTTCTCCTGAACATGCACAAACACTTTTATGAATGGTGTCTGAGCTGTGTACAAACACATGATCAACTTAGCAAGAGGAGAGTTTTATGATGTGGTATCTCAGGGGTGCACAACTCCAGTACTGGAAGGCCAGCACAGTTTGGAGTTTTCCCTGCTCAAACACACCCACTAAACCTGGCAGTTAACAGATAAGTGTAATCAGGTGTGTTGGAGCAGGTAAATCACCATACTGTGCTGGATACTGGCCCTCCAGGATTGGAGTGCACACCAGTGGTATCTTCACTGTTTCAGCATGTACAATGTTACTGACTGACTCAATCACTCACTGACTCAATCACTCACTGACTCAATCACTCACTGACTTTCTCACTCACTGACTTTCTCACTCACTGACTTACTGCCTGACTCACTCACTTGCTCACTGACTAACTGACTGATTGATTGAATTACTGACTCACTCACTAACTGACTGACAAACTGACTGATTGAATTACTGACTCACTCACTAACTGACTGACAAACTGACTGATTGAATTACTGACTCATTCATTGACTGACTGAATCACTGATTGACTGAATCACTGACTCACTGACTGACTGAATCACTGACTCACTGATTGAATCACTGACTCACTGATTGAATCACTAACTCACTCACTGACTGACTGAATCACTGACTCACTCACTGACTGATTGACTCACTCACTCACTCACTGCCTCACTCACTCACTCTACCGTGTTGAGAAACTGCACTTCGTTCCGCAGGCACATGATCTCTTTATGTAAATACTCCACCTCATTCTGCTTCACTCTCAGCAACACCTGCACAGAGACACAATATGACTGTTTAAACACCTGTACTACTAATACCACCATTACTGATTACAACTGCTGTACCACATCTACTAATAGTACTACTACTACTACTACTACTACTACTGCTACTTTAACACCACTACTTCTATATGGGTATCTTTACTACTACTACTACTACTACTTTAACACCACTACTTCTATATGGGTATCTTTACTACTACTACTACTACTACTTTAACACCACTACTTCTATATGGGTATCTTTACTACTACTACTACTACTACTTTAACACCACTACTTCTATATGGGTATCTTTACTACTACTACTACTATTACTATTACTATTTTTGCTTTTCTACTACTACTACTTTTATAATGCAATTGCTACTACTACTATTTTTACTTTTATACTACTTCTATATTGCTACTTTTACATCCGTACTAGTTAATATTTTTATAATACACCTATGCTACTACTATTTTTAAAGACTATTTTTACTTCTATACCACAACTTTTACTTCTGCACTTCTTTTTGTACTTCTACTTCTATACAACAACACATTTTACTTTTCTACTACTACTTTCATAATACAACTACCACTACTTCTTCTATATTACTACTACTACTATTGCAATTATTTTTACATCTGTAGTACTCCTACTGTTGATATTATTACTCTTACTTCTATACTACTACTACTACTTTTGCTACCAAAACCACCTTTATGTCTACGCAACTTTTATTACTACTACTACTACTACTACTACTACTACTACTACTTTTACCTCTATTTCTTTTACATAACTACTAATACTGCCATATTCCTACAATGCTAACATGTTACTCTTAAGATAATACTAGTATCTATTACAATAATTACAATGGGCACAAAATGTTTCCAGCTTTTCATCTGGCAGGCAGTGATGTAGCCTCACCTCCAGCTCGCAACCTGGACGCTCCTTTTGGTCAATGGCAGCAACCTCCTCTGACCCTTGACCCGTGACAAATGAGCGCATTCGCCGAATCTCTTCTGTTAAACGAGTGTGCAGGTCCTACAGGGAGGGAGGGAGTGAGAGAGAGAGAGAGAGAGAGAGAGGGAGAGAATAAAGTAAAAATTAAGAACTTCAGATACTCATTTGCTGGAGAAAACTAAAACCTCCTTCTCCCTCCGACCCTTGTTCACCTTGTTTTCTTTTTTCAGCTGCTCTATCTCTCTGTGCTTCTGATTGATCTCTCTCTCCCTCTCTCCGCTGTGCTGCTGGGCGCGATTTAGCTCCAGGCATTTCTGAGAGTAACGCTCAGACAGAGCCTGCAATTCTCTGCCCAGAGAGAGTAACTCCAACCTACACACACACACACACACACACACAATCTATAAGCAACACATTCCAGTGTGGAAAAATAACTCTCCACGATAATAATAAGTTCAAATTTTCTGGCTAATAACGTCCCTATGAGATTCTAGTAGTTTGTTAGCGCTCAGCTAATGGTGATTTGCATAAACATTATTTCTCACTTAGCTATCTCTACCCAGATACTACAGAGAAAAACAATTCCTGATTGGCCAATTTTCCACTATGCATTTCAAGATCTAAAACCTGTTGTCTTTGTCCAAAACTTTACAATGAAATTAGTGTAGTACCGTAACACTTCAAATACAAGTTTAAATACAAGCATGATTAAATAAAAGGAAAAAATTGAAGTGGGGAAATATAACCAAAAAACAAGTTTGTGAAGTCTGGCATATTACATTCAGCGTCTGAAAAAACGATGTGCTTGTGTTCTTGCCCAAAAAGGCCTACAGCTTATTTTATAAAAAAAATTCACATTTACAACAAAAAAAACACAATATTAGTCAGAAAAAAACTAAAATTTGATAATTCCCCCAAAACATTCAGTCCTACTGATGGGCTAGTTAGAAAGTACATCAGCTTCAGCTGTTTTAACATTGGTAATTATTGGAAATTATTACCAGATTTCAATTGTATTCACTTAAAAGTACACACTAAAAGATGGTTCTTCAAGGGTTTACATACATACATACATACATCATCTAAACCGCTTATCTTTCTGGGTCGCGGTGGGGTGCTGGAGCCTATCCCAGCTGTCATTGGGCGGAAGGCAGGATACACCCTGGACAGGTCGCCAGTCCATCGCAGGGCTCTTCAAGGGTTTGAAGAACCATAATAAAGAAAATGGTTCTATACAAATCCACAAACAATCAAAGAACCCTTTGCATGAAGAAAAGTGTTCTATATAGCACCAAAAAGGGTTCTTCTATTGCTACAGGCTTGACATTGTAAAAAAAGAACCCTTAAAGAACCATAATTCATAAGAGTGTAGGTATTTCAACATAAACTACTACAGAAACTATAGCAACTCTGTTTCTTTTGTAGACTGAATGGGGTTTTTTTTTAGCAGTGTTCTGTAAGCTTGTCAAAACTCACAAAAGCAGCTACAAATGCACACATTTGTGAACAGAACACGAATAGGTCAGCTGGTGAGATTTTACCACGGCATCTGGTACAGACATATGTACAATGTAATAATCCAAATATATACAGCAAAGAATATTCGCAACATTATTTTTTAAAGATTTTCCTTTAAGCTCAACCATGTGTTTCTACTGTCTTTTCTCTCTCCTACCAATGTAGTCTCTTTCTACTCATAAGTATGTTGCACAATATTTATTACTATTCAATTATTTTTTGCAGGTATCAAAACATTTCAAATGTTAAAAGATGCCATAAACAAAATAAAAACTGTAAATAAACAATGCTTTTCATATAATGTAACTAAAAACAGACAAACTGCATTTTGGTGTTATAAAGTGACTGTAGAGATTAACTAAAAATTGTTGTAAACAGCACTTTAGCAACCATAATAAGATCAAAGAAGTGGTTGCTGCTATTTTGCACTTATGCCTCACTGCATATGCATTTAAAGGAATTTTCTTCTCAAATCACAAAATACTAAGAGGAGATTATTATAATGAAGCACCTACACTGATTTACTGAGGCTGATATTAAATACTGAGTATGTGTTATTTAACACTTGTAAAAAGCACATCTTCTTTTTGGTGCTAACATAGCTGCCATAGCTTGTGCTCAGACAGCAAAAGAGTTTTTCAAACAAATGTACCTATTTTTGTGATTTATTATTTATGTAAAGGCCTGCCAGGCCACACTATCCTAAATTTGATGAAGGAAATAAATAAGTTAAAAAAAAAAATTAACAATATTTTAAACTTCTAATATTTTAGTTATATTTTGCTAAATGAATTTCTGACATAAGTTGAAATAATGTCTCATTTTCTCAAAATAATTATTTACTACGTTGAAATAATCACATACTTTCTTTTAACTTTGTCATTACCCTGACCTACTAAATCAGGAAAATGTCATTTTGATGTAATGAGTCACAGGTTGAACCTGAAACAGAGAGATTAAAAGTCTTTTTTTATTCTACCTTGTCGAAGTGCTTGCATACAAAAAACACAAAGACAACACTGTACCTGTATTTATCGCACTTGAATTCTAAGCAGATAATCTGCTAAATTTGATACCCCCACCAGCATAAAGTGTCTGTAAATGGTGCCTCTCACAGTAAAATCTTATTTTGCTCTGATTCATTTTTCGACAATTTTAAGTACAATAATGATTTTCCTTCAAGCTCCTCCATTCTGCAGTGCAGCTACAGCCATATGCAAAAGTTTACCTGTGCCTTGTAAAATTACGTGATTGTTTAAGAGAAAGTAAGTAAAGATCCTCTACAGAGAACAAACTTTTGTACATTTTAAAACACAACAACTGTTTATTTGCAGGATTTGGCATATCAGAAAAAAACAAAACATCTATGCTATGTCAGCTATGATGTTTTGTCATTTTGCCTTCTTAGTTCTGCTAGTACACTGCCTGGACAAAAACAAACAAACATAAACAAACACAAATGTTTGGCTGATACGCCATACCTGTGTTTGACTCTAGAATGTTCTATTCTTATTCACTCTGGTTTATTTTTCTTGCCATTCTAAAAACAGCAGCACAGCCTGTGCATAGGCAAAGATTTGTCAGTAATAATGTTAACTCTATACTTTTCTGTCTGGCTAGTTTCGTTAAAGTTAGACTCTTGTCATATATCTTTGACAAATATTCTATGAACTGTCATAAACAAACTGTAGCGAGGTCAAAATTATGTCAGCCTAGCTAACACTGTGGAAGTGTTATTTATCTGTGTATAATTTTTTTTAAAACAAACATTAACTGAACATTAATTAAATAAATGTAAATGTGCTATTGTTATTTAAATAGCGTAGGCCTAATCCACATACAATCTGCTATAACAGAAGAGGATTATTAACCAGTCTAAATTTCTTAATTCCTTTCTAACCAGTTACCAACTCTAGCATGGAATGCTGGAGGTGGAATGTGCAAACATAACAATATCTCTTCAGAACTAACAAAATGAACATTTGTTTTCTTTTCCTTAATTATTACCAACTGTACTTTTTTTCCACAAGTTTTCTCAAATTGTAAGTACAAATTATACTGCACATATTAAGACAAACAATAAGCAGCATTACTGATCTACATATACATAGACAGTGACATGGAGATTACACATCCCATTACACACTGCCACAGTACATACACATCATACATTGTTGCTTGCAAAAGTTGGTGTGTGTTTATACTTACTGCTGCTGGTCTCTGAGAGATTGTGTGCCTGCTGTGTGTGTCGCCAAGCTTTTAGCTTTCTGCACCTCACGCTCCAGCTCTTCCTTATGAGCCTTCTTCAGGGCTTCCATAGCTGATACACACACACACACACACACACACACACACACACATGTATATATAAAAAAGCATAATAACAATGATAATAATAATGTATCTGATTAATCGCTGTCATAATACTGTAAATCAGACCCTCAATCGTACAGATCTCTTACAGAATCTCATACATTATTTTCTTAGTCCTCCAGTCACTGTTGTGCAACGACTGATATCAAACTGCTTCGCAATCCATGATTCCTATGAAGTTTTAGTTCTTTAGTCAGCATTTCCCACATACATACATTTTAAATGTAAAGCTCCAGATATGGTCAGATGTGCCCCAGGGACCCAACAGTCTAACACACTGGATGTTGTTTACCACCCATTTCAAATGCCAAAAACAACAATAAAAACATCAGGTTTGGATTTGTCTGTGTAGTGAACCTCAGCATTAGCTGAACACAAAAAGTAGAATTATCTAATCCTATGTTTGCTCAAAGGTGAGTCATTTTATTTGCTGTGAAGTTGGTAATATGAGATAATCTGTCTGAATAACAAGCCACAAAGTAAAAGTGAAATCTTTCCTTGTGCATTAACAAGATCGAACTAATACAGTACAGTTTTAAACTACCTGTTTTAAACTACCTGTTGACGCAAGATCCACGTTTTTCAGCAATATGGTTAAAAAGAAAAAATTACTAAGAAACATTTTGTGTCTGTCAGATGAAAAATTGTTCCAAATTATAAGGCCAAATATTTACATTTTAGGTGTATCTTTCAGCCTATATCATATCATGTCATATCAGTGAACATACTGGTACACCTCTAAGAGTTAAAAAAAAAAAAAAACATTAAGAAATCATTTATAGGATTGAAAATGATACATTTTCAAGTATAGGGATAGTAGGGCATATGTCAATATTAGCACTGCTGGGCTGTGTGGGTACGGTGGTGGGTAAGGCAGAGATGGTGGGGACGGTGAGATGTTGGCAATGGTTGGGGTGGGAACAGAATTTCATCCCTGTGCAGCTCTCTAGTATGGAGTGTTTCTTTTTATACATTTTCAGGACATCTAGGAAAACCTGAGAAAATACAGGTCTAGTTTACAAGACCAAATAAATGTGTCATTATTATATGTAATAAGTATTACAAATACTTGTTTGTATATATTATATATATATATACACACACACACACACACACACACACACACACACACACACATATGTGAAAAATGGGACCTTATTACATTTATGTATTTGCATATACACATGTACATTACAAATGGGACATACAAACATATATGCTTACATACAAACAGGTAACCTGAATAAATGAGTGGAGCAAGATAGCGAGTGCAAACACTTGCAGAAGGTATCCTGCATGATACTATTAAACAATTAACTGCTCTTCCTGTGCTCTGTGGCACATGGAGCAGGTCCACTTGACCTCAGTTGTAAATCAAGATGCACAAAGGAGAATGTCTGATGCCATTTACATTGTTGTAGACAGATGACGGGAAACCAGATTTTTTTATTTTTTATTTTTTATTTTTTTTAAATGGAGCAATGATGGAAAATTCTGCCACCACCAGCAGCAACACTCCGCTTACGGCTGTGGTCAGCGGAATTTTGCTGTGGATGGTTGCAGAATTTTTCCATCAAGAGTTCAATTTGCTCAGCTTTTTCCATTGAACATTGCAGTGGAATAAACCAGATGCTAATTTTTTGATCTGCTAAATGGTTCTAGTGACCTGCTGATCGGCCATAGTTGAAGTCTTGGCGTCCCTGTTTAAGTAACAACAACTAAGCTTAAATCTAAACAAAATTTTAAAAACTTCAGAGCACATTCAAAAGACTTTTAGAATAAAACGGTGCTCAACACAATTGCCCTGCACGTAGGCAGAAACACCAGTAATGCTATCTCCGTTGGCTGTGTACAGTTAGGAACTGGGCTATGAGGCACAGAATGTCGATTTTTCAACGGCTACAAGCAAATGCAGCACAAGTGACTTTAAAAAAGGGTTCCTTATTGGGACATGGATGTAGGAGATTCAGCCACAAAGACTAAAGTGATCTGCATTTAGATCTATGAAAAACACATCAGTAAATAGGTACTTAGGCACTTTGCTGGCATTTGTGCGGTTAAAAGGGGAGGGTCACTGAGAGGCAGAACATTTGATAATTGATTTGCAGTGACCCTCCCCTCATGCTCTGCGGATGGGGGAAAATGCCCCATCCACAGGGTACTGAATGTTTTGTTTATGAAAATGATACAAATCAACCCAAGTGAGCATTTATGGGACATTTTGGAGCGACGTGTTAGATAGCCCTCTCCACGACAATCGTCAAAACACAGACTAAGGGAATATCTTTAAGAAGAATAAAATTTGTAGTACCCTCGAGTACAGTTCCAGAAGCTTGCAGAGTCTATGCTAAAATGCACTGAAGCAGCTTGTGGTGGCCCAACACCCTCCAAAAAATTTGATTTAATTTTTAAAGTTTTTTTCCTTTGTCATTCATCTATATGTGACATAAACAATCACATTGTGCTAAACGCTATGCCAGATAATTTTTCTCTGCTCAGTAGACTCTGTAGCAGCAGAAGTAGTAATAATTTTTGTAGGACTAACGTTATCTAGCTGATAAGCATGTTAGAAATGGCTTTTGTAGCTAATCAAGCAGACCACTGTGCTCTCTGTTACATGACATTACGAAATGTGATTTCTCTAATCTGCAAACTACAGGCTGCCAAGTTAACTTCCAACAGTGTAGGACTGCGTCAACCACAAATGACAATGAGAAATGTAATGCAGATTTGACAGTGTGTATGTGTGCGTTTTTACCACGCGCCGTAGCCTGTGTTTCCTCCTGCAGTAATCTCTCTCTCTCTCTCTCCAGCTCAGCTGTCTGACGCTCATGCTTCCTTTGCAGCTCCTCTAGAGCCTGTCTGTGAGCACGCTCCATCTGCTCCAAACTCACACCACACACACCCCCACATATTTCCCCACACACACATCCCCCACACACACCCCCACCACCCTGCACTCGCTCCAGCTGCTGCCTCAGAGATGCCACCTGGCGGAGAGAAAAAAAAAGAGACAGGGAGAAGGAGGTAAAGCCCACTGAAAGATGTGGCAATAAAACCTTCAAGAATGAATTCTATGAATTACTTGGACTGATTTGTAAAACAGAAATAGAGTCAAATTTTCCCCCTCTATATTAAATATAGATGATCAGTCAAAACCTGTTTGGTGTCTGAAGTTTGCTTTTTTTAGTTCTACACTACAGCTACGAGGCTAATGCAACTAACAAGTAACAGAAAATTATACCTCACCAATTAGCACTGTGCCAACTTTATGCCTAAATCATCACACACTTGCCTCAAATCAAAGTTTGACACTGTGTCATACAGGCCCATGCAAAACTTGGGGTGCCACTGGGCAAATAATAATAATCTTTTATTGAGCTTCTGTTTTTCAAAGGAGCCACACATTTGGCAGAGAATTAAACAGGACAGATACATTTACAGCAAATCATCAAGTTCAACCTATACTATGTTCCCACAACATTTATGGTGCATCCCTGAAATGCAGCAAATACCAAGTGAGGCATGCAAACCTTCCTATGTTAATCGATGTAGCATTTAATGCCAGGCACATGCAGCGAGCAGTGCAGCAGAAAGTGCACACTGGACTTTCTGCATAATTAAACATTTATGATAAAGTCATTTAAGAGTGGCTTAATGTAAAATGTTCCATTTTAGAGAAACTTAACAAGTGAGAACTGTTTACAGCAGTGATCAAATCCACACAATCTAAAGCTTTTAATGACTGAATAAAAGTTATTACATGAAATAATTATGAATGGGTTGCCTGATTAAACCCATTCATGGTGTAGGGCACATGTGTCAAGTGCCAGCCCACATGGGCCAAAACACTGCAGATTTCAGCACACTGCCTCATTAAACAAACCTGATTCAGCTCATCAGCTAATTAGCAAAGTCTTCATGAACTGAATATAGAGCACACTAAACGCACTTTGGCCCAGAAGGTCACCAGTTTGACATGCCTGGTTTAGGGGTACATGCAGGGCGTTCTAAAGCAGAATAGTCCTAAAAGAAAACTTTATCAGATTTACTATTTTGGCATTATCAGCATAAAACAAAAACTCAGAAAACATGTTCCTATCACCAGTTGGTACAATGAAGCATTCAAGAACAAAGCACTCTGAATGACTTTGTTTGCATGTGTACAATTGATCTATGCAGAAATGAAGAAATATCCATGGAACATTTTTGACTTTTATATGCTTACTCATTCACCACACCACTATGTATGCAGCCATATCACATACAAGGAGCACTTTAGCCAAATGACCCTCATGAATACACTATAACATGCCTTTAAGGCTCATACAGCAAATTAAAAATAAAAATCTAGCTCATTCCTTTATGTCCGCTATGGTTTCTGAATGTGTATTTGTGAGCATGAATTCATGCCTGTTGAATCTGCTCATCGATACGGAAGCCCCTAAGTACAACAAATTAACACCCAAAAAACAGAAAACCTGAAATCACAGCAGCAAATTCAGAAACACAATGATAATGAGCAAGAATACGTGCAAAATACAAAAGAACACTTCATTCAGATTCATATTTCCTCTCATAGCTCCTGTAGTTTAAAGGGGAATTCCCCCAATTTTTTAATGTATGCACAGTTCATTCAATGAGATATAAACAAAGCCATTCAGAGTGGTTTGCTGTTACATGGTTCAATGTAAAGAAAAACCCTACTGACTCAGATTTCTTTACAGTTGTGGTGATAGGAACCAGGAGTCATGTCTACAATACAAATATAGCCATTTTATTTACCATCCAACACCACCAGCAAACCTACATGTCTTCTGAGTTCTTATATGTAATGCTGATAATGGTAAAATAGTGGTAAACCTGACATTTCTTTGGGAGGGGTGCTTTGTTGTCTCACAAAACACTGCATGTACCTCTCCACCATGCATGAATTTAATAAAATGCATCAAAAGCTTATTTCAAAACTACCATAAAACAATGTCTCAGGCATCGAGCAGCACATTTATAATCATTTCAGGTAAAAACTGTCAGTGATTGAGATTTGAGAGGTATTAACTCTTCAGACGTCTGGTTTTGTCTCCACCACTGTGAAAAAATTTTTAATTCAGTAAGTTTCCACTTTACATTAAACCACTCGAATGATTTCAACAGAAGTGCCCTGAAAGTTCATGTTGTTGCATTTCTGAATTTACTTATTTGTTTGTCTCTGGATTTGCTATTAAATTTTTACATTTGCTGTTTCATTCTTTTGTGCACCTTCACAGGGCCTTCATGAGTTAGTGGTCTTTGACTAAAGCATTCTAGGTCACTGTTTCACCACACACACACACACACACACACACACACACAGATGGATTGATAATTTGCAGTTGTCATTTTGCAAATTGAAAATCATCTGCACGCTCTACCTCCCTCTGCAGCGCCTCATTGGCTAACGGGCCAGACCGTGACCCCAATGCAGGAAGTGATCTCATCTCTTTGAGCGGCAGACGCTCAAACTCCGCCCACTTCCTCTCTATCTCCTCCTCGATTCGTTTCTGTTCCGAAGCTGTCACTGCCCCCTTACGATGCAGCACCCCCTCCCATTCGCTTTGGGAAGGGTCTCTGACTCTCTCTTCTTGCCACTGGCCATGATCACGGACCTGCCCTTCCCCAGCCTCTCTCTGATTGGATGGGGTGGGGACAAGGGGGCTGGCTACAGGAGACAGCTCAACGTAATCAAATCTGCGGTGGGTGGGGTTTGGAGCGGAGGAAGTTTCTGATTGGGAGAGAAGACGCCGGGAGGATGGATGACGAGAGTTTTCTTTATCACTGCTACTGTCTGGAAGCCTAGAGAGAGAGAAAGAGAGATAGCGAGTTAGAGAGAGAGAGATAGCGAGAGAGAGAGAGAGAGAGAGAGAGAGAGAGAGAGAGAGAGATTGATTATCTCTAGTATTGTTATTCAGCTTCCACTTTCCTACAGTTTTAAAAACACACTTAAATGTTGCTCAACAAACCCTAAGGACTCCTTACTGACTTAGTGATATACTGACACATACACCTACAAACCATTCCTCAATAATCACACGCCTTGCTCTAGGTGTTTTGACACTAGATCCACAATACTGTTCACATGCCTCACTTTAGCATCATAAACTATGAGAAGTATTATTGGACACTCAAATTGGGGATCTCCAAACATGCTAAAATATGATAGAAAGAAAATGCTAAAATATGCAGTTTTGGTAGTTAAATGGTTAATTTACACTTTTCCAGGACATTATATCAATCTTCTTATTATCCACATGTTTACACCTCAGTGTCACTGCTGGACTGAGAAGTTCACCACTGAAAAATATCTAGCCAGCAGGGTCTGTTGGGCAGCGTCTTGTGACCAGTGATGAAGAACTAGAGAATGACTTAACTTCTGCAGCTACAACAACATCTACTGTTCAGACAAGGCTTTCCACAGGATTTTGGAGTGTGTCTGTGGGAATGTGTGCCTATTCAGTCAAAAGAGCACTGCTCAGGCACTGCTGTTCGACAAGGTCTGGCTCACAATCAACGTTTTAGTTCATTCCAAAGGAGTTTAGTGAGTTTGAGCTCAGGGATCTGTGCAGGCCACTGGAGGTCCTCCATACCAAACTCATTAACCTATGTAATTTATGGAGCTAGCTTTAAGCACAGGAGAACACGCATGCGGGAACAAGAAGGGGCCTTCCTCAAACTGTTGCTACAAAGTTGGAAGCATATAATTGCCTAAAACCTCTTTGTACGCTGTAGCATTAACATTACCCTTCACTGGAACTAAGGGGCCCAAACCCTGAAAAACAGCACCAGACCATTAGCCCTCCTCCAACATACAGGATGATTCAAAAAGATTAATCTGATTTCAAAGCGCCATATTTTTACAACCATGAGGCGCCTAGGAACCAATCACATACCAACTGGAAGAGGGGGAGCAGAAAGGCAGAAAGTGTTCTCCACTTCAATAAGAATGAATCTGTCATAACTGTGCGAGGTGAATTTCGTCGGTGGTGAACCTTCAACAGCTCAGAGTGTTCGTCGTTGGTTCCACAACACTGGATGATCCCCGAAATCGCATTGAAAGAGTCATGAGTACAGTGACACCCGACATGCTCAATCGAGTATGGGATGAATTTGACTATGGCGTTGATGTTGTCCGTACAGCTGGAGGAGGTCACATTGAGCACTTGTAAAATGACATAATAAACTTTATGCTCACTTAAACCATTTACATTTTACTGCATTGTTCTGTAATGATTTGTAAGTGAAATAAATCAATTTGAAATCGGATGAATCTTTTTGAAATCACCTTGCACTATGCATTTCAGTAGGTAGTGTTCTCCTGACATCCAACAAACCCAGATTCATCCATCAGACAGATACCAAAGTGTGATTCATCACTGCAGACAACACATTTCCACTGCTCGAGAGTACAGTGGTGGTGTGCTTTACATCACTCCAGCTTAAGCTTGGCATTGCACGTAGTGATCTTAGGCCTGTGTGCAGATGCTCGGCCATCGAAACCCATTTCGTGAAGCTCCCGAAGAACCCTTCTTGTGCTGATGTGTGCTCGCTACATAGTCAAATTTCAAGTCAAATTTATTTGTATTGCACTTTTTACAACTGATGTTGTCACAAAGCAGCTTCACAGAAATCCATTAAGGACAAAGTTATAACATGAAATGTAAATCCTCCAGGTGAGCAAGCCAGTGGCGACAGTGGCAAGGAAAAACTCCCTCAGAGCTGGGGAAGAAACCTTGGGAGGAACCAAGGCTCACAAGGGGGGACCCATCCTCTTCTTGTCAAACTACCTACAAAATTATTATACTACTAATATTAATAGTAGTAGTAGTAGTACACAGTTGTTCCGCTCTGAGTTTGCATGGTCTACTGCTTTGCGGCCAAGCTATTGTTGCTCCTAAATGTGTCCATTTCATAATAATAGCACTTAAAGTTGACCAGGGCAGATGTAGTATGGTAGAAATGTCACAAACTAACTCGTGGCTAAAGTGGCATCCTGTGACATTGCTCCGTTTAGTACAACCCATTCTATCACTCTGCATGTGTGTGTGTGAGAAAGAGTTAGCATGGTTAGTATGTGTAAAAGGGACTGATTGTGTAATGTCTAAGAGATTGTGTAAGTGTGAGATGAACTGTGTAAAACTGAGATGTGTGTGTGCGCGTGTGTGAGACTGACTGTGTTAGGTCAGGAGAGCTGCTGGGTCTGATGCTTTTCCTTAGAACCTCAATCCAGTTTCTCCTGATACCGGCCGTCATCGCCGACAATGTAAACACAGCATCCTTTGTCTGAGGGAGAGAGAAAGAGGGAGCAGAACTATTTTACATCAGCTATATAAGTTAAGGATATGTCTCAAAAAGCTTCCCTTTATACATATAGTAGACTATTAGGGTGTATTAGTCACTGCTTCATGTTATACAGTTTACACAAAAGTTTGGGCACTCCTAGTCAAATTACATGATTGATATGTATATCTTCAAGAGAGATTTTCTAAAAACTCTATGGATCTTAGAGAAGTCTACTCTATTGCTTACAAGACTATCCATAAATCTCCACCTTTCACTGGGATTTTACTCACCTGAATCTGAAACCCATAGTTCCTTTCCACATCAAACTCTGAGACCTTCACACATGATCTGAGATCTATCTCCCCATCCAGCTCCTCTTTCTGCAGTAGACAGAAGCAGAAAATGTTTGATAGTCAGAATCACAATACAGACCCACTGAAGCCCAAAGAGAGTCCAAATTCCACCTTAAATCAGCATCCTAATCCAGCCTCAATTTCACCCACAAGCCAGCTGCAATTCACACCTAAACCTCATTTCAACCCAAAATCCAGCCTCAACTGAACCCACAATGCAGCCCTACCCAGCCTCATTTCAACCTAGCCTGAATTTGGTCCACAAGCCAGCCTCAGTTAAACCAACAATCCCACTGAAATTCAGAGCCAGTCTGACCTGCTCAGTGTCAAAACACTAGTGGAGGGGAAACATCATTTAAACAGTCATAATTAATGTGAGTGATCACACTCACTGGATTACCTCTTCTGCTCCAGAATCTCTGTAGTACTTAAGACCAGCGTCCGTCAGCACAAACCAGTGTTTCTTCCACTGTGTACACACACACACACTGCAATGTGCATAATATCATGCAAGGGACCAGAGAACACTTAAATGCTTAACAATACATTCATTCACACACACATCTGCTGTCAAAGCAAACAGCAGTAGACAAACTAAAAGAACATGAAGCTATCACCTTACACACACACACACACACACACACACAGAAAAAAGAGAAAAAGATGAACTGATAAAACTAAAGACAGGAATGCTGTACCTCTCCATTTTCGTCCAGTTTTGACATCCATCCTTTCTTGAAGTTAAGCAGGTCAGGCTGGAGAGAGAAAGTGAGTTAGAGAAAGCAAGATCTCCACTGATACTGGAACCTTATACTGATATTTTTCTTTAAAAACTACTAAGCTTTATAATTAACTATTTTCATTTCAGAGTTCAGAGATGAGCATCTAAAAAGTAGGCCAATAATCACTCTACAACCCCACAGGAAAAAAAAAAACAAAACACACAGCCAACATCACATCACATTTGTTACAGGATTGGATCAGATTCCTTATTTGGTATCTCTAGTATGACTGTGTACAGACTAGGCCTGGCGTGACAGGATGATGACAATCAGATATCGTTAATGATGGACAAGTAGCCTGATGGCGCTGTGTAAAAGGCGTTAATCGCAGTTTTGAGAAAAGAACTAAGAGAGAATAAAAAGGACTAGTCTACCATTAAACAGCCTGTAAATAAGTAGGGAAATTGCCATTCATGTTTAAGAAATGTGCAGGAATGCGCCTTAATGGTCAGTTTTTTTCTGTTTCAGAGAGAGATCGAGACAAAGAGAGCTAAGAAGTTCATTAAAAAGCTGCGCTGTAATGCTAGCTTTACCTACAGCATGTCTCTTCCCTTTCTACGTGCTTTAACTCACATGAACTTTAGTCTGAGTATACTGGAACCAAAAATGAGTGCAGCCGTGCTTTATACCTTCAGCTTGCTTCAGTGTGGCTTACTGCAGTGAAACAACAAAGCTCAAGTGACAGGGTGTTACCCTAGAGCAGCTAGCTCTAATGTGGAGAAAAGGTTCCTCTGATCCCAAACCAAAATCAAATTAAAAAGAAAAAAGACTATATATATATATACTGTATATACACACACACACGTCTCTAAATATGTACACAATATACACATTAATACACACCACTAATTTCCAATTTACAGTTGTACAGTAATATATGTCTATAACCAAGAAACAGGATGAGAAAAAGGTCATATATAGTATTGAATAATATGTACATATAATGTTAAAACACCAGGCGTTATTTAAAAGGTGATGGTAGAGTAAATTTCCCACTGGCTGTGTGACAGAAAACAGAAAACAACAGAAAAATACTTGTCTTTTCATGTGTCTTTTCACATGAACATGGCTTAGGTTTCTCCAGCAGGGAGTGCTATTAGCAAGCAAGTCACCCTAGATATGCACCAGAAGAAGCTCATGAATGCATGTGTAGTCGTAACGCCTAATATAACGACAGCTGAAGTAGTTTTTAAAAGATGTTGGGTTATTCAGTATTATATTATTTAATATGTGGTTTTATTAAAGATTTTCATTAAAACAGTGTTGTTCAAAAAAAGCATACACACTAAAAATAGGTCGAAGCCCCAGCTGACCATGTGTATTTGTTTGAAAAAATTATTTTTAGATATTTCACAGGCCTAATGCAGAATAAATAAATAATAAAACATAAGTAACACGTTTGTACAATAACCCAAATCGTGTGTTTGTTCTTACTTTAATCAGCAGGTGAATTTAAAAAATGATTTCTGTCACTTTAAAACAATATGAACGAAGTTGAGAGTGGCTTACTCTGCATTACACTATTACACACAAGGGTGTGTGCAAACAGTGTGGATTAAGTGTGAAAGTAACAGGAAACACACAGAGAGACAGAGAGAGAGAGACAGAGAGAGAGAGAGAGAGACAGAGAGAGAGAGAGAGACAGAGAGAAGATGAAGTTTTACATGCAAAAATGGTGGAGAAGAGAAATGCACTGTTTAAAGTGGCATGCAAAAATCTGGGCACGTTGACTACGCTTTTACGACACTGCAGACAGTGATAATTGCAACCTGGAAGTGTTTTCATATATTTTTATATCCTTCCCCTGCTTTAGATTAATTTTCAGATCCTCAGCCAGCAAGTTTAGAGAAGCCCACTGTTGTTGAGTGTTAGCACATGGTCTGAAGAGTCAGAAAACTTATTATGCTAATGACAATTCTTGGTCTGCCTAACTAGTCCTAACAAGTCAATTAAAGCCTAACAAGTTAATTATGAGACTTTTCAGCTGGAAGTGTTTTTGTTTTACACAATCACCATTTTACTTTTTCCTGATTTTTAAGTTAAACGAATATAAAGTAATTGTGCACTATGATTTTTATTTTTCAGTTGGCTAGAGAGATTATGTTTATCCCCCTCCTAAAAATCAACATAAATGTATAATTTGCCCAGGGGTGCCCAAACTTGCATACAACTGTATATCTGGATGCTTGACAAACATTTATATTCCTAAAACCTACTTATATTACATACATACACACACACACACACACACACACGCACTCAGAGTGCTCTCAAGGCAGTAAAGATGTGATTATGGATTAAGATTAAGAAACGCTGCCCTGTCTGCATTCTTACTTACACACACAAACTGTTATCAGTCTCCAACATGCCACTCTCGCTTCAACATGCCGCTCCATTCCACATACTGAAATCTTTTGTAGAATTCTCCAGAATGCTTCACTCTGACTAACACTGCTGTATTCAGTGTTTTCAGCAGGTCCAGGAGTGTATTCTGGCTTAATTAATTCTGTGTGATTTAGGAGCGTATTATCAGCTTTAGGTGACTCATCTTTAGCAGGAGTGTTTTTTGAAGCGTTTTGTATTCTCAGTTTAGCAGCCAGGCCATTAAGGCGCATTTAGTAGAGTTAGGCAGCGTTCAGAGGAGTTAGGCAGCGTTTAGAAGTTGTTAAATGAGAAATAATATACTGTAAATTATTTATACTAAATACTTGGTAAGAGACCAGATCTTTATGTTTCAAGTGTGTAGTTTGGATATTAATTAATTATTATTATTATTTTTTTATATAACATTTATTTTGTAACTTTTTTCAGCCTTTTCGGTCATTATGGAATCACACATCTAATATTTCTTCTCTTTTTACAGATACAGATCACAAGTGTATTGTTACAGATTGCAGGCTATCTGTATTAGCCATCTTCCTTCACTCTTCATTCTTTCATTAGTGGTCAGCATGCTGTTGGCTGGACATTTTTGGTTGTTGGACTATTCTCAGCGCAGCAGTGACAAGTGTTTAAAAATCCCTAAAACACCATTAAATATCATGATACATATCTTATAAAGTGAAACTGCCTTTAAGTATTGTGATCGATGTTTACTAAAGTTTAACCAAAATATTGTTGCTGTCAAAACAAAACCTTGTATCTCACTTTTGTCATTTTTTCACATTTTAAAAATGCCAGTTGGCCTTTACATCCTATCAATATTGAATGCTGAATGGACTGACGGAAACAATTCAAAATAAGATCTTGTTCCACTGAATCTTACTAAAAGTTATTCCAAGTTATTTTCTGGGGCTTGAGCTTTTGTTCTGACAGTGATGACATTTCAAAGCATATTGCAATAATATTCAACATGAGATTCACAATGTGGTATTTTGCTCATTTTGTGCAGCCCAGGTTTGGATCACCTACAGACAAACTAGATGAAATCCAAAGCTCACTGGGCCTTTGCTAACAACGAAGAAAAGCAAACAGACTGAGAAAAATAGTGAATAATCAGCAGTGATGAAGGAGGTGCTGTTTCCTTTGCTCTCACAGAAACACACTCTACTCAACTTCAGTCCTGAAGACCCCATTGCCCTGCACAGTTTCAACTGTTCCCTGTTCCAAAAAATCTAACACAGCTTATGCAGGGCTTGATAGTTAGCGGATAAGCTAGATCAAATGTTTTGAGCCAAGGAATATGTGAAATTGTTCTAGGCAGGGGGTCTCCAGGGCTAGAGCTGAGAACCACTGGTATGCTTTTGGGGTGTTTTTCCATGTGTTTCTATATGTGTTTATGTAAATGTTACTGATACACACTCATAACAACCCATAACCTTAACCACACACACACACACACACACACACACACACACACACACACACACTATTTTCATCATACTGGGACATTCGACCCCCATAAAGACATAAACACATACTGTTGACTTATCTACGTGCTGTCTCTTGGCTTGTACACACACGACCACGGCAAAGCGAAACCTTCACACTTACTTGAAACACCGCTGGGGCAAACAATACAGAGTGTAAGAAGACACACCCTCAAACACACGCGCGCGCACACACACACACACACATAAATATATATATATCAACTTTTAAACTCGTCTTCAGAAACTCACCGTCATGTTTATGATCTGCAGGAGGATGATCGGGATGCGCAGAACTTCCGATTATCGATCACTGGTCCATTAGTGACGTTTTGTAATCGCGCGGCTCTACCTGTTGCTGTGCGCGAGCGCTGTGAAGCTAAAGCTACTACAGCAGCGCGAGCACAGAAAGCTCAGGACGCAACAACTCCGGAATAAACACACGAACACACACACTTATACACACCCTCACATCACACACACTGACACCCACGCTGCGGGTTTGCCTAGCGCTTCTACCGTCCCGTTTAAACTTTAATTTCACCCTTTCACAACTTCCAGCTCTGGGCTGCGCGCGACTTCCTGGGAGGATCCCTCAGCAAACATCAAAAGCGACCTATAAGAACTCACCACCAGCAACCAATCAGAACGCGCGCAGCAACCCTTCAGCATACAGGAAAACAGCAACAAACCAGAACTCCAGAAACAATCGGGACATTCAATCAGAACATGAGAAGCATTCACAGCAACCAATTATGACACCAATATAAACTGCAACCAATCAGAAAACCAACAATCATGACAACCAATCAGAACACCAGAGGCACCATTAACAACCTATCAGGACACCACAAATTTTTACCAGCAACCAATCAGCACACCATGCTTTTGTTAACCCCGAGGAAAGCCATACCGTGTAGATAAAGTTTAAATCAGAATGAAATTAAATGAAAAGTAATGAAATTAAATGATTTTAACCTTTTTTATATTTGTTTATTTTGCTGATAAAGGAGTTAAGGGTTTCACATGGCAATGAAAGGTTGCTAGGGGGGACCTAAAAAAGGTCTTTGAATTTTCACTCTGGTAAAACGGGGCACTGATGAACGAAACGTCATTCTATAGCAGGATCAACTGCAGGACAGCTTTCATAGCCAGTAAGAAACTCCGCTACTGCATGAAGCACACATTCTCAACACAGTTTTTTGGCCTGAACAACTTATGTGAACGGACCAACTAATGATCTTTGGGTTGTGAATGTGCTTGATGCAGTAGCGGTACCAGAGAAACCAGGCAAATGCATATTGGCCTTGAAGATTTGGGGCCCCCTGCTGGCCACAAGCGGTAGAAACATTAACTATATCACGACTAGTTAGGCAACCTAGCTAGCTATTCAGGGCTTTTCTGCTTATTTAGGCTAGCAAGAAAATGCTTGTATTCCAGTGATGCCCAAATAAAAAAATGGAAAGGTAAGTGTAATGATATGGAAAGAACAAGAAGCCAAATCAAAACTTTTTTGAAGCCAGCACCAAGATGCTTCTGTTGTGACAGATTAGCATTAGCATTAGTAACTAGTTACTATTTCTATGTCCTCATGCATAAAGTGAACCGAGACACAGAGAGAAAGATGGAGAAAAGGAAAGAGAGAGAGAAAGACAGAGAGAATAAAAAGTGTGAAAGAGTGTAAGATAATGACAGAGACACAGAAGGAAGTATGCATGCCTGGTCAATGGTTTCATCCTCAGCCTGTTCCACACTGGAGGAGAAATACACTGATGGCCTGCTGCCCTGCAAACCAGAAAACACTTGAGTGTTTACAGCAGTCACAAAAATTCAGGCACAAAATTCAGGCTTCAAGACAGCTGTTGCACTGTTTTAGCTATGCAGCATAGTTTTGACCATTTCTATAGAAAACAGTATGTCATTCAGTGTCTGAAACCACATAAACAGGTCTGTTTGAGATTACTTAACATCTAAATATAGTCTGAGGTAAGTGTGTTATGATTTAGACATGTAGTTAGCATGATGTTAATTGATAAATAAGCTTCCATTACTTGTTAGCTACATTAGCTTTGTTACTCCAGTGCACAACCAAAGAAGCAAACACTAAACATGTCTTGGCTGATCAAATACATTGCCACGCTAAACACCTGAGTAGTGAGTCAAAACAGTAGTGAGGTATTCGTTGTATATCCTTAGCTATGATGCTTTAAGATGTTGGACACCTTCTCATACATGTACACTACCTGTGCAGGTGAGGTATATTTGTTCTTGACTACACATAACACAATGATTTTTATAGTACATATTAAATAATTGTAGTAACTGTGTAATTTATACTCTAATAAATAATTCATAGTAGAGAATGAATAACTTGTGGTAGATACTAAACAATTTCTAGCATATACTGAATAACTTATAGTAACTACTGAATAATTTATAGTAGATACTAGATTAATAAGTAGATTAATAACTGAATAGTAAGTCTACAGTTTACGGATTTTAGTCATTGTACAAGTGATTTACTCGTTCAGGTGTGTTACCTGTGTGTGTTGAGCAGAAGATGGAGCTGCCCTCTGTTCCCTGGACTCATCCCAGGTGCTCTGGACAGTTTTAGAGTGGGCATGGCTGAGGAGAGATGGTCCATGTCCATGTCCATGTTTATAGATAACAGTACGTCATACAGTTTCAGAACCCACATAAGCAAGTCAATCTGGGATTATTTTGGGGTAAATACGAAAATTGTGTAAATTGGATTTTTTTGCCAAACTTTTTTCCTTTAAGAGTTACAACCATTGCAGGAACAACACTAGAGGGCTGCAGTACTGCATGATTATGTATATCCCCTAGTCACCTTATTCCCTTAATGCACCTTATTCAACTCATAAAGTAATTATCAACAAGTATGTGTTTTAAAGTGTTATAACCTTATATGCTTGGATTTGGATATGTAACATGTTCTATGAACAGTTTTTCTAAGCTGATCTAGTGCTGTAAGGTACTAAAATATCAGCATGATATTTCTAGGTTTCATGTTAACAGACATTATTTAATTAGCATTAATAAAGTTAATGATTTAGCTATTGAATGGCACGACTGCTGCCCTGTTGACACCACAGCCATCCATAGTTGAGAGACCATGAGAGCATTCTCTCTGGGTGGGTAGGATGGGCCTTCTTTTCTCCCAACAATGCTTATTATCAATCAATACTGCAAAAACTAAAAATCAGTATCACAGCGTATCAATATATTCCCGGTATACCAGAATAGATGGTATCGCCCAGCACTAAGCTTATGTTGCGTTTGGAGCAGTGTAGCCCGTTACCTGGCAGGTTTGTAATATAAGGGTTCGTCCCTGTTTCTGCTTTCAAGTCGCTCCAGCCGGCTTGGCCCCTCCCTCTGGAAGACGGTCTTGACCTTCGGAAGGTCAGCCATGATGGCGTACTCCTCCCGGTTCAGACCAGATGAGCCAGCTGACAGGTGGCCTGACTCTAACGAGTCCATGGAGCTCTGAGAGGAAGTATGTCTTTGCATCTGAGGGGAGGGGCTTCTATTCCTATTTGACAATCTTCTGAAGTCAGGGGAGGGGCTGTGAGCCTCTTGGCTCCTCCTGTCCTGACTGCTACTCCTACTTTCCGTCCGAGTGTTTTCCCAAGCAACTTGGGCAGGTCTCTGAGAGTAACCGATTGGCTTGTTCTCAGCACTTTTTCTGGATGGGGAGGAGCTACGGGAAATGGGTGGGCTGTGAAGAGAGTGGATGGAGCCTCGCCATGACTTTGCACTGCTATTGGTTGATTTCCTCATGTAAGAGATCATCTCAGCCTTGGTCTTGTGCAGGATTGACCGTCCTGCTGGCTCATGCCTTGCTTTAGATGGAGAGGAACTCCGAGATTCTCTGCCACCCTTATAACTGCTAGCCTCAGATTTGCGAAGAAGAGATTGGCAAGGAGTATTATAACCCTGCCTTAAAGGGGAGGGACTGCGGCTATCAAGTCCACGACTATAGGACGTTTGGTTTGCTTCAGTTTTGCAGGGCACTGATTGGCCAGGTATATCATAACTTCTTCTTGAGGGGGAGGAGTGTCGACTTTCACAGCTGTGGCTGCGAGTGGAGCTGTTGGTCTCACATTTGCGCAGCGATTGACTGGTTGTCTCAAAGCTCCTCTGTGATGGAGAGGAACTAGTGCTGTTCTGACCCCTCACATTCAACATGCGACTTGTATCTGATTGGCTTGGTGCACCGTAGCCCTTCCTGACAGGAGACGCACTGCGCTGACCTTCAACCACCTTGCGCAAAAATGACTGGCTGCCTTCATAGCCTCTCCTAGATGGAGAAGAGCTATGACTGTCACGGCCACGACTATTTGAAGAGCTGTTTGTTTCAGTCTTCCGGAAAAATGATTGGCTTGAAGAGTCGTTACTCCTTTGCCTTGATGGTGAAATGCTCTGGGAATTGCTGCCATGTCCACTGTTAGTCTCCGCCTTGCGTAACCCAGCTCTTAGATCGGCATAAGAGTTGGACAGAGATTTAGCAACACTGCTGGCAGTACCCACAGAGGTGGCGAAGGTCCTCAAGTTTTTCTGCAGGCCTGTGGACTCTGATGGACAGCTATAGGAACTCTGAGTGGGGCTTCTGGACCTCTGGTTATGTCTCTGTGAAAAACCACCTGACCCAGGTCCCCCACCTGACCCAGGTCCCCCACCTGACCCAGGTCCCCCACCTGTCCCAAAACCTCCACCTGACCCAAATCCCCGAGAGGGCAGGGAGGAGACTGACTCAGTCCGTTTGAAAGGGGAGGAACTTCGGGAAGGAGAAGAGGACTGAGAGTGGCTTGAACTTTGTCGAGAAGAATAGAAGGTTCCAGACTGTTGGTAGGAGGATGAGTAGGACGTCCGCAACCCCCTTCGGCTAGATGCAGCCAGAGATTCCGCTTGTTTGAAAGGCGTGGGGCTTGGGGACCTGGGGCCAACCTGAGCCTCCACCTCAATGCTAAGGTCCAGAGGTTCTGGAGAGTAGCTTGCTGGAGGTTCTGGTTCTGGGTTCTGGATCTCAGTGGTTCTTCTATAAGAAGGGACGCCCAAGTCTGGGTTACGGAAAGGGATGGTGGCTTTGGGTTCTGGGGCGGAGTTGCTGGGTAGAGGATGGCCCCGTTCAGAATGTCGATGAGGAGGTGGGGGGCTTTTATCTCGTAATGTTCTAGCACCTGCAGCCCGGCCTAGAGAGAAATATCCACTCTCTCGGTCCCGATCTGCTTTTGAGCCCCCTGAAGAAAGACAGAGAGGGATTACAGTAGCCAGATTGAGCCTGCAAATAATCCCACAAGTACTTGATAAACCAGACATTCCCAGACCTCAGAGACTCCCAGACAGTCCACATTTTTGTTGTAGTCCAAGCAAGCAAATCAATAAGTAAAATGCTGATTACTTAACAAAGCATGCCTAGTGGTAGTAATTCAACATCACAAGTCAAGCTGCCTTGACTTGTATTGCTTTATACCACAAATCAATTCGCCAAGTCCTTTACCGCCTCACACCAAGACTTTCTACTGCTGGGCAATTTAGGCTCAGGCATGTGAGGAAACTGAAACAGAGAAAAAAAATGGACTGTCTAGTGGATCTCTGAGGACTGTGCTAGAATTGTACAATACTATTGAACGACCCAATCCAGCTTTTCTTACTCTGGACCAATTTCTTATTTTATCCCTGTTAGTTGAAAAGTGGCGTGCACAGCAACTCAGCACTGAGGAACACCCAGAGAAATCATTAGAACCATGTAAACAACACCCATGCTTCGTCACCCTGTAACTGGAGCTGCCTGAATGTGGTTTTGGAGCCTTCCTCACCATGTGAGGGTAAGGAATGGCGTCCGAAGCTTTCACGGCCCCGTGCTTCCTCTATCCATGCCCGGGGATTTGGACGGTGGGGTGGAGGGCCCAAGCGCGTCATCTTGTGGTGATGAAGGGGAAGAAAGTCTTCCTCTGGAGTAGTAGAACCGCTGGAGGCCAAGTCGTCTTCACGCTGACTGGAATAAGAACGAATAAGAGAAAACTGTGTATGAAATTTAAAAAGTGTAAAAGCTAACACGGACCAGAAAATAAGTTATTTCAAAGTCAAAACTCAACTGTAAGACTTTCTATTATTATCTGTTCTTAAGCATTGTTAAATCTGGATTTTAGATAATTAAGTAGATAATCCCTGTTGAACATTTGATATTACAGTAGTAAAACAATTTGTACATATAAAAGACACATTATTATTTGCACTGTGCATATAAAAATTAACATATTTACATATACACAGTGCAAAAATGAGACTAAGTACAGAAGACAACAGCATCAAACAGAAGGATTTAGTGGTGTGCATTACCAGCTTGCTTACAATAACACAATCAAAATGTCCACTATGCTGTTACAGGGATAATAACTAACTACAAATCCAGCAAACAACACCATCTCTTTTATGCTAAACAGTGCCTACTATTTGCAGTCAGAAATGGTAATTCTTATTTGAACTCCGCAGCAGAGAGGCCAGGTGAGCCTTACCTGTCAGAGCAGCAGTCGTCGTCTCTGTCACACAAGTAAAGGTCACAGCCAGGGCTGAGGATGCAGAGAGAGCCTCCACTTACATCGCAGTAGCTGCTCACCACCGACACTTCATCAGAATCCTCCTGATAGGCCAGCAAAGCACGACCAGCCAATTACAAAACAGAGCAAATCACCATATCATCCAATGGCAGCTGCCACAGGAGGATTAGGGTGCTTAGGCAGAAACCTCACTTGATCTGTGTACTTTGACGTACTTGACTTGTGTGAGAAGGTTAAAGATGTACTAGCAGCTTTTTCACTCTGTGAATTACAGTTCAGCACATGATTTGCTGTCAGTACATTACAATCAGCTATGAGCATTGCAGGCCTATTTACTCAAACAGTGCAAAGTCAATCAAATACTGCCAGAACTAGCTAACTTAAGACTTTCTGTTTCTGATTTATTGTCTGAATCTAATCTTGATTAGCAGCCTCCCCAGGGTGAGTTAGTTATCCAAAGGCTGATCGAGATTCAGTTTTTACCGAAATTGCTTCTGCAAAAAAGCTGGAGGAGCTGAACACAAGACACAGCAGCTTCTTTTGCACAGCTGATTCATATAATCCTGGGTGTCTTTTCCTCTCTATCTTACACACTCAACTCCATGTACGTGTGGCTAGGTTTGCATTACGTTGCTGTAATACTAGCTGGGTGCTGCTCTGCTTCATCATTATTTAATCTCTCTGCCGTTCCTCTCTCTCTCTCTCACTCTAGTGTAACATGAAATAATAGCTAGTGTGTAGACATCAGCATCAATCCCAATACTCTCACTATTAGACAAAGCGGGTAAATAACCTATTCAACTCAGAATGACATTCAACCTAAGGTCACTTTTTCCAGTCATATTGCTTCCAGCTGAAAATGAAATTAGTTACACACCATCACAGCTCTCTCTCTCTCTCTCTCTCTCTCTCTCTCTCTCTCTCTCTCTCTCTCTCTCTGTTAGTAAAGGTGTATTGTATTACTTGTGATTCCCCAAAGAGCAGCAAATGATCTGCCTTCATTAATTTGTAATGGGAGCACACACACACATACTCCATCCCCCATAAGCCCCTGTGCTTTCTTTAATATTTCAGTGTGTGTTATGGGAGCCACAACAAGTTTTTATATGACAGATATGATCCTAGTGTACTCCATGCTAACTTAGACCATGTCAAATTTGCATGAAAAAGTTTAAGCTAATCCTCCATTTAATTCATTCAACCATGCACATTTTCAAAACTGCATTTGAAATATTTTTTTAGTTAATAAAAAACAAGAAGAAAGAGGGCGGAAAGAAAAAAGAAATAATGAAAATAAAGAAAACAGGGGGCATACATGTTAATAATGTTAAAAATATTAATTGAACCATCATCTGCAGTACTGTTCATCCAGTACTACATCAACAATCATGGTAAGCAATACAAGCACTAATATGTAGAAATTATGGGACAAAATGAAAAATTTAACCACCACTAATTCTGTTGTAAACATGCTTACTCGCATACAGTGGTGCTGTAGTAGTCTCTAAATGGAGATTTTCTGGCTTTAAGACTTTGAAAACCCCTTTATGTTCACCATTTTTGTACGACAACAAGTGCAAGAGTTACACTAACTACTTGGTTGCATTTATTGGCCTATAGATCAGTGGCTAGGCTATGAGTTAGCACCGGTTAACACCGTAGGGATTCCCAGTGGCTGTATGACTTATTGGATAATGCATGCTGGGTCTTGTAGTGAGAGAACATTGCTGAATGAAAAATAAGAATGTGAATTGTGAAACTGATGAGGCACTACAGAATAACACAATAACATATTAAACGTTTAGACCAGAATCCCAATTTTTTTTAAAGAAAATATCTTTGTGTAGTCAGTCACTGCATCTCATTTTGCCCAGCTTAAAAAAACTAAGAAACTCCTTTATCCATAATGTATGAGAGGGAGGTGTCGAACACTTCCATCTAATTAGAATCAAACACCTGACCAGAAAAGAGACAAAGGCTAAAAAAAATAGTCTTCAAGGTAGAGAGCAGAGCTACTGGTGGAATCACTACAACAAAGATTTCAAAGCAGTGGATGTGTTTGGGTTTTCCAGTTATAGCTGATAGTGATTTAAATATGTCTGAGCAGTAAGAGTATAAAGAAGGGCAAGACCAGAACGTGTGTATGGTTTACTGGTGTTTGGTGACACCTTCATAAAGACTACCGCAATGGCTCTTACACACCAACTGATTTAGTGAAACGTTGCTCATCACTCTTACCTCACACAGCTGAGACTCTCTAGCACAGTGGCTTTAAGCCTGGTCCCCCTAGACTGTCTTGGGCTAGAAACCACTGGGCTAGAAAGTCTCAGGTAGGTGGCAAGTGATGTCTTTGTAGTCAGTGTGTGGTACAGACAAGAACCATTCTATAAAGCACTAGTTCTCAGTGCAATTATCTGTAATTATGTGTCTTTAATTATTGATTGATAGTATTATTGATTGTAATTTCTTGTCAACTTCTCCATCTTAACTTTTCATCACTACTTTCTGTTCACTCTAAATCTGATACTGTTTTTTCTAATTCTGATTCTGCTTTTTCTGATATGCTGAAAATCATAACAAAAAATAAAAAAAGGTTGTAGACAAGACAGTGTTTGCTGACAATACAACTTAAAAAATATGTAATGCAATGTAATATGGTAAAATTATGTTTCCTTGAGTAAAGGCATACCCTTGAGAACAGCACCACAATGACAGTTTAGTACTTTTTTTTCTGGGAGCGCGATTCTGATTCTGCTTGTTCTGATACTGATTCTGAATATGATTCAGCTCTTTCTGATTTTGATCTGAAACAATCCTCACAAAAGGCTGCAATAATGGCACATGGGGGTTGCTTGTGAGCAAATGTGCCCTTTGCGACAGGACTACTCAACATTAAACATGATACTGCTTTTTCAGATATTCGGATTCGGAATCTGAATATGATTCTGTTCATTCTGATTCGTTTTAAATACTGATTCCGCTTATTTTGATTCCAATTCTGCCTTTTCTGATTCTGAATCTGATTCTGAATCTCATTCCATTCAATCAAACTTGTTCTGAATTTCATTCTGTTCAATCTGAATCTGATACCATCTGCCTGTCTGCTGTTTCAGAGCTCAGTTTCTCATTCATCTAAGAACAATTATTCACTTATTCACAAAAAATATTTATTCTCTCTCTCTCTCTCTCTCTCTCTCTCTCTCTCTCTCTCTCTCTCTCTCTCTGTGTGTGTGTTACCTTGTTGCTTGTCTCTTGCTCCTCTTCTCTCGGTACCTGAGCTGTGCTGTGGCTGCTGTTTTTCTCCACAGAGGGGTTTACCTGCTCTGCTTTGTGAGGTGTGTGTGTGTGTTCGAGACGCAGGCAGTCGTGGCAGCGGGACGAGTTGAAGATGTTTGGCTGAAACTTTGGGCACACGAGATCATCACCAGTGAAGGGCATTGTGGGTAGACAAGGAATACACACACACAATCATCACACACTGGAGAGAGACAACAGAGAAAAGAAGATCACACATTCATTAATACCACTGATGTCACAGGCAGACAGAGGTAGGTACAACCCCATTTCCAAAAAAGTTGGGACGATGTGCAGAATGTAAATAAAAATAGAATGCAATGATATGTAAATCATGTAAACCATACTTTTAAAGAAAAATTATTACAAAGACAACATATCAAATGCTGAAACTGAGAAATTTTATTGATTTTTGAAAAATATATGCTCATTTTAAATTTGATGCCAACAACACATTCCAAAAAAGTTGGGTTGGGGGTTTACCGCTGTGTTTCACTGCCTCTTCTTTTAGCAACACTCTGTAAGCATTTGGGAACAGAGAAGACCAATTGCTGTAGTTTTGAAAGTGAAATGTTTTCTCATTCTTGTTCGATATAGGATTTCAGCTGCTCGTCGGTTCGGGGTCTGCTTTGTTGTGTTTTTCTTATCATAATGCACCAAATGTTTTTAGCACCTGGACTCTTTTAATACGGAGCAATGCTGTTGTAATACATGTAGAATGTGGTTTGACATTGTCTTGCTGAAATAAGCAAGGCCTTTCCTGAAAAAGACATCGTCTGGATGCGTATGTTGCCAAACCCTGTAAATATCATTCAGCATTAATCATGCCTTCACAGATGTGCACATCACCTATGTCATGTGCACTAATGCACCCCTATACCATCATGAATACTGGCTTTGACTGTGCACT